TTTTCTTCTAAAGATTAAGATTAAGGTATTATAGGAAATAGAAAATTAACTTTTTTGGAAAGCAAAAAAGCGATATCTTTATAAGAGAGTGAAAGAGGACATAGTACCCATCTTTTGAGGGTCACCCCTTTAGGGAATATGGGAATGGATCTCCAATATATTATGTGAATGGATCTCCAATATAGAGATGGGTCTCCAAGAGAGAGAGATATGGTCTCCGAGAGAGAGAGACCGTATTCCCATGAGTTTTGAGTTGATTAACTTCCACTTCTAGATAGAGAAAATCTTTATATTGCTCTCGAGATTATCTTTCCAGTACCGCCATTACGGTGGAAAAGAGGTTGAGCCAAAACTGTAATATTTATTGTGATAGTGGATTTCTAGTTGCCGATGCCGTGGATATAGTCTTACGGGGTGAACCATGTAAATCATGTGTTGTTGTAGTCTGTTTTTTATAGTTGATTTATTTTTCGCACTTGATTTATAATTGTATTCATCTACTTCGCATTTAGTCAATCATGTACACGATTTTGAGTGGGATCCCGATGTTTGGGATTCCTGATTCCGCAAGCTAGGGGATCCTGAAAACCCTACACTGGTTAGTACGCTTTATATATTGACGAGATTCAAACCCCTAACTGGGGTACACTTTACTCCTTAGAGCTAACTAGTATGACATCCTAACATATCTACTATGAATTTGGGGTAATATTATAGTTAAACTTTAAAAATATTGTGTACAACTAACTCACTTCACCTATGGGCCGAGTTCGAGTTGCCCTGGCTGAGTTTTAAAATGCTGCCCCCTGGCTGAGTTTTAAAATGCTGCCTAAGGGTTTGGAAGGCATTGGTTAGGTACGTAACATTGACCATTGGTTTTATATGGTCATATGGATCACAATACGCTTTACATTTTTTTGGACCGGGTGAAATGGAATGGACTGCTTTGCCAGCCATCCAGAGCCCTTTTCTATCATTTTAAGAGCCCTATTCTGGTTTTTAAATCGCTTCATTGGTTTATGTGTTAGAGGTCTCTATTTTGCAAATACAAGATCCTCTTAGTTATGCAATCAATGTTGTTAGATTTTCTTTCGAGTCTTCTTCGGTTTGTTGAGAAAAATGAAGTAATTCGATGTTTCAGCCGATTTGAAGGAAGACTTTAGATTTTTTTTTTAATTTAATATAAATAAAATAATATTTATATATAAAATACATACAAATAATGAAAAAAATAAAAAAATAAAATATTACTTTTATATAGCTATATTTTTGCTGCCCGAAGCATACCCAAAGCACATCCGAATTAAACCCGAAGCAGCCTCCGATTCTGACCGAGGCAGCTTGAAGCGACTTGAATTTGACCGAAGCGGCATGACCATGCTTTGCTTCGCTTAGGTTTATGCGTAAAATCCGAAGGCTTCGGCCTCTTCGGTCGAAATGAAACAAATTTGATAACATTTCAGGCAATCTCAGTGTGTGGTATTTGGTGCATACATGGGTTCCGGAGGGAAGCTTTCTTTATATAAATTGCATACTTAGTTTAGAAAAAGTTTATATAAAGGTGAGGCTCTAAACAATCAAATTAAGGCGCTCAACAATCAAATTAGGGCGAACCTAAAAAATTCACTACAAGAGGTTTTTTTTATGCCCAAATATCCTCAAATCGATTATCTCGACCTCAAGATGTATGAACATTAGAAAAAATAGATTTCAAGTTTTGGGAATAGTTCATCTTATAATGCATTATCAAGTGTGCATAGATCTGTTTCATCCACACTATTTTTTAAGCTTTAAATTTTATAATTAGAGATGAAAATGAATTTTCAGTCCATTGTAAATATTTTCAATATTAGAATAACACATTTCCACACTATTTCAAAATACATCCTCAGCCTTATACCAACTATTGTTCACAAAATTGCCCGATCTAACCACTAACCGGCCTGGCCGGTTCCGGTTTTGGGCGGTTAGGGTGATCAACCGGTATTTAAAAAAAAAATTTCAAAAAAATGTATATAAATTCTT